GTGGTCTTGCCAGGTTGTTCTAACAGGTGGTCCTGTCAGGTGTTCCTGTCAGGTGGTACTGTCAAGTGGTCCTCTCAGGTGGTCCTGTCAGGTGCTTCTATCAGGTGGTCCTGTCAGGTGGTCCTGGCAGGTGGTCCTGTCAGATGGTCTTGGCAAGTGGTCCTGGCAGGTGGTTCTGTCAGGTGGTCCTGTCTGGTGGTCCTGTCATGTGGTCCTGGCAGGTGGTCTTGGCAGGTGGTCCTACCACTCCTATCACATACATCTGTGCAGTAACAGTCGTTTGGTTAAGAAAACAGCAACAAACGTGTCATACATCAGTGTGGTGGTTTCAGTGTCACTAATAAAAAATTATTTCACACGAATGACATTATTAAGCAAACTATGTTTTATGTAACTAAAAAAAGACTAAAAAGGAGGACATCTTCTTTGAAGAAGATGAAGTGGTAGAAACCAATTTGACAGTTTTAAATGACCAAACTGTCCCTTTAAGTGCTTGGGTGATCAGTCACAAGTTGTGCTGTGGTGATCATCCTTCAAACCTGTCAGACTTTTAGTCACATTTTTATCATTATATTTGTTTTTACTAAATATAAAAATCAGATGAACATGATCTAACAGCAATAATTTAATCCCAGCACACATTCTGCCCTAAATACTCTTCGAAGACCTTGAGGTCTTGTAGTCAAAAATGAGATTAGATTAGATTATCTGCAGGCTCATAATTAAAGTGACAGCTGCTAACTTTTCTGTGTTCATGTGAGGTTTCTGTGCTTCGTTGCTCTTGAAAAAACGTTGAATCTGTAAATGTTTGCAAGTCTTTTTAATTGTCTCTGTAAATGAATTCACCTTTAGTCTCTGCTCTTTGTTGATGTAACTGAGCATGACTTCTGCATGGAAATGATAGATACTGCAGTCACGTGACTGCGTGGGAGACAGATGCTTTTTAAGATCCGATGCTGGATTTAGCTGCTGTGGAGATCCTGCAGAGAGGCTCCAAAGGGACCACAGAGGACATGAAAACAATCAGACATGTGAAGATGCAGAGTGTTTGAACTGTGCGCCACAATGTTCCTCCCTGCTTTTCCTGGGCTGCGCTGTGAGGACCCTGGCTTTCTCACCATCAAGGTTCTTTGGATAAACTTTAAGCAAATATTTTTATCTCCTTGTGCTTGTAAAAGCCTGAGAGGAGAGCGAGTGTGAATGTGCACGCATGCATCAGTGTGTACGACTGACTGCATGTGACAAAACCAGCCAGAGAGCAGCAGTCAAGAGAAGTGTTAGGACACACAGTTGATATAAAATCCATATTTCACATACTTTGCGTGATTTTAAACATTCAAATGTTGAAATCTTTACTCGTTCAGAACATTACAGATAAGATAGAACTTTATTGATCCAGCAGGAAATTGTTGAAGCTTGTTGATTACTTTGAGCAATTTTTGAAAGTATTTAATCGGGTTTTTTCAGTCATGGGCCCTAAACTCAGAACAATCAGTACCCCCCACCCCACCCCAACATTAGACAGGCCACTTCACTTCCTGTTTTTAAATCTCTGATAAAAACACACCTGTTTTCACTGACTTTTAACAAAGTGGGATTTGATTTAGAATTTTATTGTTTTGTGATTTTATGTTTTTCTTTTGATGCTTTAAATTAATTTTTGTTTGTTTCTTTGAAATTACTGCCATTGTTTTTATTTTTATTTTTATTGTTACGCACTTTGGTGCTGTTTTTAAATGTGCTTTATAAATAAATTTGATCTGACTTGATTTTATATTATTTAAACTTTTTTTTTTTTTACATAGAAATAATCAGAAAATACTTAAAATTTGTTTAAAATAAACTTTCATCTCTTTAGAAGCTACTTAAACATAATTCCACCTAAAACAACATGGAAACTAAACAAATCACAAAAAATGGACTCTCACCAAACGATTCAGAATTTTGATGTCTGGTATGAAAGTTTTGGACAATTTGAAATTAATGTGTGTTGGGTGCTCCTGCCATGACATCGCAGGTCACATGACACAGGACTAGATGAAATATAAACAAACATCTGGTGGAGCTCCTTCTGTTTAGACCACATGTGGCTCTTCAGACCCTCTGAAGTGGCTCCAACTTTGACTAAAAACAACGTGAACCTAATTAATTTTAAATGAATGAACTGAGCTGGAAACAGTCATTTGAGCTGTTTCTGTCCAAAGAACTTGCAACATGTGCACATATGTCTGCAGCAGACACTAATAGGGGTGACTGTGTCTGAGTGGTTAGAGCAGTCGGCCTCCAATGCGAGAGTTGGGGGTTCAAATCCACCAGCAGTCACATGCTGAAGTGTCCCTGGGCAAGACACTGAACCCCTCATAGCCTCTGATGTGTGTCCCATCATTGTATAAATGTGATCTAAAAGCTCTGATTAGTCTCTTTAGAATGATTTGTTCAATTAGCTTTGTAGAGATCTAGTATAGAGCTGTATGAATGGGTAAATGAGGACACAGATTGTAGTGTAAAGTGCTTTGAGTATCTTGAAAAAAGATAGAAAGGTACTTTATAAGTACAGTCTATTTAATAATCCATGTCTTTCAGTGTGAAGCCAGTTTTTAGCAGAAATTAGCCAACATTTCTGTAAATGCACCATCATTTCAGGTCCACCATCAGCTGATTGTGGTCAAGTTTTCACTAAAATGTGTTCAAACTCTAGTCATCAGTTTTACAGTTGAAGTGATTTCTTAGCCTGCGTTTAAAATTTGTTTCTGCAACTTTACAGCATGCAGCACAATCTACAAATCCACACTGGAGCACATTTAAAGTAAAATGTTGTAAATGCATGCTTTGTTTATGTATTTTGCTAGATCTTAAGGTGCTAAAATATGGTGTTATAGCTTTCCTCCGATAAAAGATTTACCCCTTTAAGTGTAAAAGTGTTCTGGTTTTTACTTTATTCTGCAGCTAGTGCACGGTTGGTCTCAGTGTGGCCGCTCTGCATCATTCTAAGAAAGTGTTCCTTCTGTAGAAATACACATGTTGTTTCCTTTTACTTTAAACCTTAAAGTAAAAACTACAGCTGAAGAACATAAACTATCATTTGTTTGTGAATGTTTAGTATATTAAAATATAATACAGGTTGTTTTTTTAAGAGCCAAATAGATTTTTATGGTTTCTTGTGGATTTTATTTAGTAGGAAAGATGTTAAAAATTGCTTTTTTAAAATAAAGGTTGCAGACCCCTGACTTAGATCAACAACAACAACAACAACAACAACAACAACAACAACAATGTAAATGGATCCATTCAGGATTAGACGTTTGTTTAAAATGTGCTGTTCAAGAGGGGGGATCACACTAAAGTGAATATTCTGATTTCTTTGAATATTTTCTGACTAACTTTTTTAGGATGTAAAATATGTGTCTGTGTCGTGTTATAATTAGACTGAAAGGACTGTAAATTTAACATTTAAACCCAAATCTGTTTTGAACTAAATCTAGCTGATTACTTTGTTTGTGAATTGGTGCTCGATAGATAAACTGAATAGAAGTAAAAAATACTTCAGACTGCTACATCAGCGGTTTAAATTCGACTCTCACCAAATGACTCAGCAAGATACTTTTTATTTTATTTTAAACCTTTTGTTCACCATGTAAAGTTTCCATTTCTTGATTTCCCCTGCAATAATCTTCAGCTAAAACTTGAAGTATTTATTTTTCTAAACTTTCTTGTTCTTTGTGTGTCTTTAGGATTCAGAGCTGCAGATGTTTTCTGAATATCACAGATAAAGACTGAAAAATGAAAGATTTATTTACTTATCAACCAGTCATGAAATTAGCCTCTGAAAAATTATTAACTTGTACATTTTATACAAGCATGTTCTGCTTCTGCTCCATTATCTACATATCTACATTATACACACACATATATACACACACACATATATTGTGTGCCCAGGGACAAAGCCAAAACATGTGCACAGGAGAGGTGTTGTCACCAGACACACCGTCCATCTGTCCACACGTCTGTTCCTGCATGTTGTGAGCACGATAACTTGAAAAATAGTTTCATTATGGTGTGTGACTACATCTAGGTGTAAGAAAGGTTCCCTTTAAAAATTAGGTTGCCACATCAAAATACTTTGTATAAGATGGCCACCACTATTTATATAGTTAAACCAAACAACCTTAACATTTTAGAAAACTGCTTTCTAGTTTTTATGTTGTTAGAAAGCATTGTTTCTTCAAATGATTGGGGTGGCTGAAGATTAATCTATGGTGGCTGAGGCCACCATTGGCCACCCCCTGACTCAGCCATTGCACCTGGTGGTGGATTAAAAATTAACAAGTGAATAAATAACTACCTCTGCTTTTCTCCACAGTGTAACTCCCACTTGAATCCAACATTCAGTCAGCTCATCTGGACAGTTTCTTTTCTTTTTTTGGCTGAGACATTTCGTCCTTCATCCAAAGAACTTCTTCAGTCTGAGGAGCCACCAAACGAACTGAGTCCCACCACAAACAGCTCACTCCCATAGTGGGAAAAAAACAACAGTTTGCTGGTGATAAGATGGCCTCCGAGGCCTGCCCTCTCCCCCGTCAACTCCTCTGAGGCAGCCATGCCAAAGTGATTCAAAACACCAAAGTTCATGCTCAATAATCCAGGTATCCATCAGCGTTCAGTCAGGTCATCTGGACGGTTTCTTTTTTCTTTTTGGTACCCACTTGAATATCTAGCACCAAAAACATTCAGGTTTACTTTCATTTCCTGTTTAGTTCCAGTCCTGAAAAACACTCAGCTCTCAAACAAACATTCAATTTTCAAATCCCTCAGCGATGGGGGTGCACCGCTTGTTTGCTTTAGTTGTTAGAATGATAAGAAAATTGGCTGCTTGGCAGAGGTTTCTAAAGTAATACTAGATCTAAATGTCTGGTTTATGATTCAGTGATTAACCATAACATTATGTCCACCCACCTGGTATTTGTAGCTACCATTTAAACTGTCACGGCATGAACTGTCTAATCATCTGCCAAAATAACACTTGTCCATTGTTCCTTCTTTTAAAATATCATCTTCAAGGACAATAATCAGACCCACATACAGGACTGTCATGTGGAGGGTGGGTAAGTCCACTTTCCTTCAGTTCTGAGGGTTTTACTTATCAAGACAAAACAAAAGTGACCTGGTCTTTGACAGGTTTTAAAATGATTAAAATCTAACATCAAGTGTAAAAAAACAACAATAAAAAACCCCAGCTGATTTATCCATGTTGTTACTATT